GCGTGGTCACCAATCACAGCGTGTATTCCCATTGAGTCTTTGTCTTGGAAGGGGGTTTGCACTGCGGGGACCCGACCACTTGCCTTGATGTTTTCTGGGCAAGCATGTTGCTTGTTCTTGTAGTAACAGTCGTTCTGCCCGTGGAATTACAATTTTTTTGAGCAAGGTATTTCTCTTGAAGGAAAGAAATTCGTCAAGGGTATGCCCTGACAAGGTGTGTCAACTTCTGAAAAACGTCCTCATTTAACGACGCACACCTTCCGTTTGTCATCCGGACGACAGCACACGCGCTCTGCGTTTTGCTGTCTTCTGTGGGGCACAGTTCTCGTCACAAGTTAACGTTGACATCTGCTCACACTTCATAGCGCTGTGAGCTCTTGGCCATTGGCTGTCTCTCACGTGCTGTAGTATTCTGTTCAGCAAATCACCTTTAGTGTCTTCTGTGTTATCCTCCTTTGTCTCTGGCTGTCTCAGCTCTGTCCGTACCCTGTCTTCCTTCCCTTCCTTCCTGTCCTGTCAACATTCTGATTTCAGTCTTTACGTTCAAGGCTTGATTCTGTCGGTAGGGACTCCCAAGAGGATGATCTCTGAACACTGCTTTCCCTTGAGAAATGTGCATTATATATTTTTTCTTTGTGATTTATGGAGCCCATACATAGACAGTATCTCTATGCTTACAAGGAAGACCAGCTAGCAGAAGTGTTATCCAAATTCATGCACCAAACACGAAAGTCAGTGGTAATGATATTTTACCAACTTCTTCAGTCTGAAACTGATTGAAATAAAAGTGTACTAATAATTACTGGTGATTGGATTGCCAGAGTTGGAAACAAAGAGGAAGGGATGTTGTAGTTAAGTGTTGCTTAGTCGGTTCTGGCCCAGCAGCAACCCTGTATAGAGTTTCCGAGGAGCAAATGGTGAGCTTGAACTGACGACCTTTCGGTTCAAACCGACTTTACAGTCCAGCACATTAACCCACAGTGCCACACCAGGACTCCAAAGAGGAAGGGATAGTAGTTAAAAAATATGCTCTTGGTGATAGAAATGATGGTGGAGGTCACATGACAGAATTTTTCAAGACCAATGCCTTTTTCATTGTAAATACATTTTTATCCCCAGAACCCTAAATGGCGACTATACACATGGACCTCACCAGACGGCACACACAGAAATCAAAGTGACACATCTGTGGGAAGAGACAATGGAGAAGCTCCAAATCGTCACCCAAACAAGGCCAAGGACAGACTGTGGAACAGACCACCAATTGCTCATATGCAAATTCAGTCTGAAGCTTAAGAAAATGAATACAAGTCCATAAGAGTCAGAATATGACCCTGTATATATCCCACCTGAATTTAGAGATCATCTTAAGAACAGATATGACACACTGAACACTAAGGAAATAGACCAGAAGAGTGTGCAATGACAACAAGAACCTCATACAGGAAAAAAGACAAAGGTCATTAAAAAGACAAGAAAAAAGGAAAAGACCGAAATGGATGTCAGAAGGGACTCTGAAACTTGCTCTCGCGCGTGCGCATAGAGAGGCTAAAGCAAATGGAAAAAATAAGGAAATCCAAGTGCTGAACAGAAAAAATTTTAAGGCAGTTCAAGAAGACGTAGCGGGGCCTGGAGAAAAGTCCTTGGATTCTTTTCCCTGCCTCGCCTGATGGTATAAAATATGCTGTACGGTGGGTCTCAGGAGCTGAGGGGCTTGAGAGGGAAGATGGTGTTCTCGACCGCAGTCCCTCAGAAGAGAAAATGAAAGGCTCTTCGCGGCGTCCTAAAAACGTACCAGGAAGCGACAGAAGCCTCGTCTTCGTCTGGAAACTAATGGTGACTTCCTGGTCCATCTGAACTGTGTACTGTTCATCCATTAGCAGATAAAAGCTTGTGAAAACAAGTGTGGAATAATTAAAAAGGAGCATGTCCTGGCTGCAGCGAAGGTAATTCTAAAGAAGAGCCGAGGTTACAAGTCAAAGAACACAGTCTTAAAAACTATGTGATATATTATTTTAGGCGGTAATAGAAGATGACACCACTTATCAAATATCGATTAAAATATTGGATGGTTAAGGATACATTTTTATATTTTCTACCGGTATTAAAATGTTTCAAGTGAACACATAAACTTATTTAACCATTTTGAACTATTATGCCTTATTTTAAGTGAACTCTTCCATTTTTGTTTTCATTTTGTTGCTATTGTACATATTTTAAAATAAAAATGGAAGTTTACTTGATTAGTCCTGCTGTGGCATTGTGGGTTACTGCGCTGGACTGCAAGGTCAGTTTGAACCATAAGGTCAGCAGTTAAGTTCACTAATTGCAGTTCAAGCTCACCAGCGGCTCCTTGGAAACAGAGTCGCTATAAGCTGGAAGCGACTCGACAGCACTTACCAGCAAAATAACTTTACTTATTACCTGTCTCATTAGCTGCCATTGATATTGATGACAATAGTAATAACTCCGCTGTTCAGACATTTTGTGCGTCAAGCATGAGTGTCTGTCAGTAATGCTGAGATGCAAGCATGAGGTGATGGTTAAGGATGTGTGTCAACTCCCCTGGGGCATGATTCGCTTTAGTTTGGCAGTTATTGTTGTTACGTGCTGTCGATTCCGACCCATAGCGACCCTGTAGAGCGTTTCCAAGGAGCAGCTGGTGAGCTTGAACCGCCAACCTGCAAACGACTTTGCAGTCTGACGCATTAGCCCACAGCGCCACTTG